TACAACATTGTAAACTTTCATATTCATGGCAGCGAAAGTCTTGACAACTATGCCCACGTGCAAAGATGAATTCACGATCAGTGCATTTGGCCGTACCAGTTTTGCAAATAATTTTTTGCAAAACTTGGGATGCTTCACGGCCCTTGAAGAGCAGTGACCTCCGTTTTTGCAAAAACCCGGGTGTGTGTATGTGGAGTTGTCGAGTCAGCGAGTGTTCACGTCGTGCGAGTGTTCACGCCGTGCGAGTGTTCACGCTGTGTGAGTGGTTCACGTCGTGCAAGTGTTCACATGGTGCGAGTGTTCACGCTGTGCGAGTGTTCACGCTGTGCGAGTGGTTCACGTGCGAGTGTTCACGTCGTGCGAGTGTTCACGCCGTGCGAGTGGTTCACGTCGTGCGAGTGTTCACGTCGTGCGAGTGTTCACGCTGTGCGAGTGTTCACGCTGTGCGAGTGTTCACGCCGTGCGAGTGTTCACGCTGTGCGAGTGTTCACGCCGTGCGAGTGTTCACGCTGTGCGAGTGTTCACGTCGTTCACGTCGTGCGAGTGTTCACGCTGTGCGAGTGTTCACGCTGTGCGAGTGTTCACGTCGTTCACGTCGTGCGAGTGTTCACGTCGTGCGAGTGTCCACGCTGTGCGAGAGTTCACGCTGTGCGAGTGTTCATGTTGTGTTGCCTTCATAGCGGGCGGTGCGTGACATTTTGGAGCGGCCAACACGAAGCGTAGCACCGTACGTAGAGCCTCCAGAGTGTTACCACTCCTCACTTGTTCATCACCACCAAGAGAGAGTGTTACCACTCCTCACTTGTTCATCACCAAGAGAGAGTGTTACCACTCCTCACTTGTTCATCACCAAGAGAGAGCGTTACCACTCCTCACTTGTTCATCACCACCAAGAGAGAGTGTTACCACTCCTCACTTGTTCATCACCAAGAGAGAGTGTTACCACTCCTCACTTGTTCATCACCAAGAGAGAGTGTTACCACTCCTCATTTTTTCATCACCACCAAGAGAGAGTGTTACCACTCCTCACTTATTCATCACCAAGAGAGAGTGTTACCACTCCTCACTCCTTTATCACCAAGAGAGAGTGTTACCACTCCTCACTTGTTCATCACCAAGAGAGAGTGTTACCACTCCTCACTTGTTCATCATCAAGAGAGAGTGTTACCACTCCTCACTTCTTCATCACCAAGAGAGAGTGTTACCACTCCTCACTTATTCATCACCACCAAGAGAGAGTGTTACCACTCCTCACTTGTTCATCACCAAGAGAGAGTGTTACCACTCCTCACTTATTCATCACCACCAAGAGAGAGTGTTACCACTCCTCACTTCTTCATCACCAAGAGAGAGTGTTACCACTCCTCACTTCTTCATCACCACCAAGATAGAGTGTTACCACTCTTCACTCCTTTATCACCAAGAGAGAGTGTTACCACTCCTCACTTGTTCATCACCAAGAGAGAGTGTTACCACTCCTCACTTGTTCATCACCACCAAGAGAGAGTGTTACCATTCCTCACTCCTTCATCACCAAGAGAGAGTGTTACCACTCCTCACTTCATCATCACCAAGAGAGAGTGTTACCACTCCTCACTTGTTCATCACCACCAAGAGAGAGTGTTACCTCTCCTCACTTGTTCATCACCAATAGAGAGTGTTACCACTCCTCACTTCTTCATCATCAAGAGAGAGTGTTACCACTCCTCACTTGTTCATCACCAAGAGAGAGTGTTACCACTCCTCACTTCTTCATCACCACCAAGAGAGAGTGTTACCACTCCTCACTCCTTTATCACCAAGAGAGAGTGTTACCACTCCTCACTTCATCATCACCAAGAGAGAGTGTTACCACTCCTCACTTGTTCATCACCACCAAGAGAGAGTGTTACCATTCCTCACTCCTTCATCACCAAGAGAGAGTGTTACCACTCCTCACTTCATCATCACCAAGAGAGAGTGTTACCACTCCTCACTTGTTCATCACCACCAAGAGAGAGTGTTACCTCTCCTCACTTGTTCATCACCAATAGAGAGTGTTACCACTCCTCACTTCTTCATCATCAAGAGAGAGCGTTACCACTCCTCACTTCTTCATCAGCTAGCCAGAGTGTTACCACTCCTCACTTCATCAGCTACCCAGAGTGTTACCACTCCTCGCTTCTTCATCAGCTAGCCAGAGTGTTACCACTCCTCGCTTTGTCCTGACCAAGAGAGAGTGTTACCACTCCTCACTTCATCAGCTAGCTAGAGAGTGTTACCACTCTTCACTTCTTCATCAGCTAGCTAGAGAGTGTTACCACTCCTCACTTCTTCATCACCAAGAGCGAGTGTTACGACTTCTCACTTCTTCATCAGCTAGCCAGAGTGTTACCACTCCTCACTTCTTCATCACCAAGAGAGAGTGTTACCACTCCTCACTTCTTCATCAGCTTGCCAGAGAGTGTTACCACTCCTCACTTCTTCATCAGCTAGCCAGAGTGTTACGACTTCTCACTTCTTCATCAGCTAGCCAGAGTGTTACCATTCCTCACTTTGTTCTCACCAAGAGAGAGTGTTACCACTCCTCACTTCTTCATCACCAAGAAAGAGTGTTTCCCACTCCTCACTTTGTCCTCGCTAAGAGAGAGTGTTACCACTCCTCGCTAAGTTTGTCAAGGAGTGTATTTTGTGTGGCTCTCGCTGGCTTGGCCAAACGGATTTGTGAACTAATTGGGGAAAAATGCGCGGAAATCCTTGGGCAGGGCTGGCTGGGCTCCCTCCCGTGATTGTCCAACGAGCGAAATACAATACAATATAGTACACTACAATATAGTACAATACAATATAATACAATACAATATAGTACACTACAATAGAGGACAATACAATATAGTACAATACAATAGAGTACATTACAATATAGTACAATACAATATAGTACAATACAATATAGTACACTACAATAGAGTACAATACAATATAGTACAATACATGTAATAAGAATGCAGTGGCCATCGGACTAGTCAACAAATTGCAGCTGTCTGCATAGCTCCCTTCAGGTCTCCTGAACAGTGGCGGTGTGTTTGCCGCGCTGCGTTACGGCACGGTGACACCGGCTCAAGACGGTGTCGATTGATGCCTGAACCGATCCTGGTCCTTGACTGAAGAGCATGGTGAAGTATGGCTAAGCAACCCCCATGCCCAAATCAGCACGAGGAAGCTTTCATCCAGCAGTGGATTGAGAGAGGGCTTGTGAAGTTTTTTTTACTTTAACAATGGGCTTGACCTTGACTATGGGAAGTTCTGTTCATGGCTCAGTGTCACCAACAGAGACGATGATTTCCCAATGTTAGTTTGAGCAGAGACAATGATAAAATTTTACGTTTAAGGGTATCTTTAAAAAAAAATACTCCAGCCTCGTTAATTTGTATCTAAATTCCCCTTGGCATAAACTTTCACTTTTGAATCAATTGTTAAACTCAAACCGCGCTAAAACGAGTGGACATTTAACAAAAATTTCGGCTCGCCGTAAAGCAACTTCTTGCTTTAAAAAAACCAAGACCAAATTTAGCGGAAGTCAGACTGCTGAGAAAAGCCAGCGAGCGGGCTTCTCATTGTCTCTGGCACTGGCTCGGATTCAAAGGCGGCCTGTGAAGAGGCAGCGTTGCTTTGTTGTCGGTGGAGGCTGAGATCAGACGAACGCAGGGGGACAGTGGGCATCTTCGGCACCAGCCAGTGGTGCTTCCCGTCCGGGCATCAGTGGCGAAGCTATCGAGGGTGCAGGCGGTGCAGCTGCACCGGGGTCCACGGGCAGGATGGTGCCCGGGCGCCGGGCTGCGAAGAGACGGGAAGGTGGAGAGGGGGCCCACATTCCACTCCGTGCACCAGGGCCCATGCCACACACACAGTACGCCACTGATTTTTGTTTGATTTTTATTGAATCTCGGTGCTATCCCTGTCAAGCTCTTTCTAACGGTGCAATTCATCCAGTGCGGTGTCTCTCGTGAGTATTCGAGTCAAAGTCCCAGTGGCTGTGAGGTATCCAGGCTATGGCACTAGAGCAGTGGATTCTTGAGTCTACAGTATCTGTGTGTTTCATGGAATTGGGCAATGCATTGCAATGCAGGGCCATCCAGAAAAGGAGTATTCAGACTCAATCATGCTCTCGTGGGTAAATAGAAGTATTTATTTTAAAAATATTAACATTGTTTTTTTATTATTACAAATCTCTGCTCAAATGAGAACTGGGGCAGCATTAAACACCACTGGTGAGCCAGAGGGGACCAGTCTCCTCAGAGACGTTCCACTGTTGACCTCCCAAAACAGGGATACTCATCTTATTGGTGCTGTAGGGATGATGGTGTATGTCAACCCTCACAAAATGGGATTTTGAACTCGCAAAAAAATTGACTGCTCCAACAGAAGCTAATTTTACGCGGATCGGTATTCTTTGTTCACAACAATCTCGCAGTATTACCACTGCATTGTTATTATTACATTACTAACATAACATCCTCATGCCATCAGATTCTCAACTTTTGAGATTTGTTTTTCCTGCTTCCTTGGAATTGCCGAGCAGACTGACAGCTGCTTATGAGATTATTTCAGCACCTGCTTATAATACCCCGGTCGGTCAGAGGCGCCGCTTAAGCATTTAAACCACGTGCTCGAGAAGATCACTGCAGCCTCTGCCGGCCAGGGCACGTAGCTGCTGGCTCCATCACTCTCCCCCCTCTCTTTCCCCTCTCTTCCCTCTCTCACCTCTATATTACCTTGCCATCTCTCTTATCTGCCCCCCCATCCACCCCCTCTCTTCTTTCTATCTCTTCTCCCTCTTTCTCTCTCCCTCTTCTCTTTCTCTCATTCCATCCTCTCTCTCCTCTCTCGTATCACCCTCTCTATACCCCCTCTCCATCATCTCCCCCTCTCTCCCTAACTCTTTTCCTTCTACCATTAACTCTCCTCTCTCTCTCTTCCCTCAACCACAACCACTCTCTCACCCCTCTCTCTTTTTCCTTTCATCTCCCTCTCTCTTCCCCTTTCCCTCCCAGGGACCGTATCGTTGTTTATATTCATCGGACACAATCTGTGTGTCCCAAGCGTGTGTTTATTCGAGCTATATCACGGGCTGCGGGGAAGACAACTTCAACCGCGTGCCCTTCCATGCACCGGCAGGGTTTTCGGGACCCTCTTGCGCAAACAAGACAGAGAGATTCATATCGCCCCCGATCGTACAACTCTGAAATAGTATCCGTCCGAAATTACGGCCGTCCTTGGGGACTGTAAAACACACGCAAACAACGAGCCACGGAATGGAAAAAAAAAATCTAGGCGTTGAAATTTTTGTGCGGAATTCCATTTTTTTTGCTACCCGTTGTTTTGTTTAGAGGATCGTAACGAAAAGAATAATATTCCATCGGGCTGCTTTGGCAGGGACTCAACATCCACAAACAGGCAGTTCCCCGGACGCCCCAGCTATTGTGTGCGGGCAGTGACGGGATCGTAGCAGTGAGTTACTCCTCTAGATGGGCGCAGGAATGTCCATTCCTCTCCTCCCTCCATCTCTCGCGAGCCTTCCCTGGAATCTCTCTGGTGCCACATTTCACAGGGTGTGGCCTGGGCAATGCTTTTTTTGTCATCTACAGTCAAGAGCTCCACATGCATTTGCATCTGCCGGGGAAAAAATAGTCGTGTTGCAAAACCTCACGCTTACTGCATATCTGTGTAACATTTGTAGCATCGTGTTACAGATTGATTGCAGATTACTGCCTGGGGTGTGGCAGTCGAGTGGTGAACTGCACTTTGAACCTGGAAACCTGAGTTCAATTCCTAGCCATGGATAGCATCGGTGTCGAGTGATTTCCGAACCTGTACTAGGCCACCATTCACCAGCCCGCACAGTGCAGAATGGTGAAGTATGGTCAAACAACACCCAGAACTTGCACAGCATGGGGTGGTGCTTATCCAGCAGTTGATTGACAAAGTGTCTGTAAATAATTATCATTATTAGGCATTCGGAAAATTATGCAGTGATGTATTTAATTTTCCAAACGGGTCTCTGCTGGAAACATAGCATTACGACTACTCTCACGGGGTATGAGAGTTCTGCCTGTGACTACATTAGCTCGTGATTGTTCACCTGGTTAAACAAAATAGGCATGCAGCTCTCTGTGAATCGTGCTGCAAAAATCACGAATCTCTACGCCTGTCTCGTGTGTGAGATGTCCCACTGTCTGCCCACCGTCTTGAGATGCAGCTGCACTCTCAGCACTACGCTTGCTTGAATGTTCGCGACTGCCCGTGACCAAATGGCCCGCAATGCGCCCAATCTCATCGGATCTCAGAACCCAAGCGGGGTTTGAGCCTGGAGAGCGCTTGGAAGGGTCACCTCTGAGCGGGGCTTGATGGCAAGCAGCAGAAGGCAACGTAGGAAAATAACACAATCGTTGTAGTGTTCTTCTATGCCTAACTGACCAGGGTGGTGAAGTATGGTCAAATAACGTCCACGACCCACACGGTATGACAAAAGGTGCCAGACTTTTGGGAGCTGAGTGAGCTGCAAGGTGAGAAGACAAGGGTGTGAGCTTGAGTCAGAGAGGATGCTACGATCCCGAAGCCTCGAGTCAAATTCCCGCTCATGGCCAACACTAGCGATTATCTAGACTGGTTGAGCCTCCTGTAGGTTGACTCAGCCTTAAATGATGTGTGTAAGCATCGCCACTGGAGAGACAAAAACGGTCACTTTGTGTGCCGTGCCGGACTTCGTAGGTGCTCGCTAGCAGCGCTACGGGGGATCTTTGTCTTTGTGATTCAGCGTGCGGCAAGTGTGCACTGGATGCGCGTACGCGGGTGTGCAGGTGGAGTGAGTGCGCTTGCCCTACACACGTGCGTGCCCACATCTGACTGTTGTGTGCGTTACGTTGCACCCTGTTCTGTCCACACTTTCTCGATGAAGGTTGGTACGAGACTCGCGCCGCTTGCGTTCCGGTTCCTCTCCGCGGACTCTTCGGTTTCACCGGCTCGCGTTGCTGCACACCCAACAGCACTAACTCCTCTATGTCGTCGTCGTCGTCGTCGGCCATGCTCAATCCACTGCTGGGTGAAGGCCTCCCCACATCGTCATCCCTACGCCATTATCCATCTCTCTGGTCCATCCAAGTGTCAACACGCAACAGGTGGTCTTCCTGTTGGGTGTTGACACTTGAAACTGTTCCCTCTGTCGGCTCTGCCGGTCTATCGCCTGTCCCGTCGAACAACCATCACTCCCTCGAGCCATCGTGTGCATGGCCAAGCGCGCTTTTACACTCGCTAACAGTACATATACTTACATTTGTCATTTACATTTGTTCTCCGATCCCTGCATCCCTTCTCCCTGTCTCTAAGTAGAATTCCAAATGTGCATGCCTCCATGCGTTTTCAGTTGTTGTTGATGCGTTATTTGTGTCAGCCTCCGTGTTTACTGATCGACGCCACGGCTGGCAAGACGCATCGATTGAAAAGTGTCCACTTTAAGGCGTGTATGTGGCTTTTCCTTAACCAAACCACAATTTGTTTTACCAATAAAGCTTATTATTATCAAGTACGGTCACAAACAAATAACAAAAAAGCATGCCTATTCCTGGAATCGGTAATACTTTCCACCATGTGTTCGTCATCGGAAGTGTTTAATTATCGATAGCAACAGTAGCGCTCACACCATGTGCACCGGACGCTAAGGTACGTCTCGAGGCAGAGATGAACAATGAGTCTCGGTTTAGCGGCTCTTCCTGGGGAGGGCGCACGCTCACCCTTTCATCAATCTCGGCCGGGTTCCTCAAGGTTAACGTCTCTAATAGCGACGCAACTTTTAGTCTGAAGTTGTGTTGCCTAAAGTTGTGTTCATATTGGATCAACTCGGCGAGAGTGTTAGTGAACACTTCTCACACCCGGTCAGAGACGGGCGGACACAGCTGACGCATCAACACCCGCGTTGCATCGCGTTTGAGATCAATCGGACGCAGTATCACCAAATAATTCGTGTTGAAAGTCAACACGGTCGATCCCTATTCACGTCAATGGAGGCAGCTGTCACGTTGGCTGTGGTGGAGGTGGGCGTGGAGAATGTGTTTTGGTGTTCGTCTTGTCTCACAGTCACCAAAAACTATTTAAAAAAATCTATGAAACTATATTTTTTATCTTGATTTGAAGCTTTTTTTAAACCATGTAGGGCCGACTGAGCTCTATAGCTCTTTTTCAGAAACGACCTGGCAACAACTGATAGCTTGACGAAGTGGCTTATCACGTGGACATGAATTAGCAGCCAAAATGCTCTCAACGCGTGATGTCGATGGTAAATGTGTTGGGAAAAACCGTGGGGCTACTGAAAAGAAAATCCACGCGAGCACGAGGAGAACGTGAAAACTCCAAATTTACAGCAGGCGTCAGGGTCGGGATTGAACCCATGACCTTTCGTGTACCAAGCGAGGTAGTTAACATCTCACAGCCACCGTGGTGCCTGGGTAACGCCGTGAGGCTGGGCCGGCAGTAGGGCTGCAAAGCCCACGGAAGATTTGGGCAAGGGATCGCACAGAGAGTAAAAGTTCAACTTACACAAGATACACGGTCGATTAAAGCATTAGCCTGCACGTTGAACATTTAACGTTACACTTTAGACATTCGAAGGACCACACAAAAAAGGTGATCTTCATTTGAAACCGCTTGCCGTAAGAGTGCTTACCGTTGATCACACTTCGTTCTGAATTCTAATTTGGAGCAACTCCTGAATATGTTCACTGCCGAGACGCGTGCTGTGCGTCTACCCTCGGTGTGTTTCATTTTACTGCTCTACGGAATCACGTTTCTTCACGGCAGTCAACTCTTCACTTTCATTCCTTGCACCCGAAGCCATTCGCTCTTACGACGTAGTTCTATCCTATCGAGTTCTCTCCCTGCCACGAGGGACGTCTGCTGGTAATCCCCTGCTCTCACCCAGTGGGGCTTTTCATTAAAAGCCATGGGGTGCGTTTGCTAGATTTTTTTTGCGTGGTGGATGGGGGGGGCGGGAGGCGAGGATTTGACTCGCCGTACAGCACACTGTACTCCTTATTCCCATCTGATCTGAATCATCTGCTGAGCGCAGTCCAAGGGGAAAGCGAGCGCAGCTGTTTGTGCCAAAGTTTACAGAGTTTTTCGACGTAATTCTTTCCAGCGCCGGTCGCCGCTCCTTATAGCGGCGGCCGGCGCTGTGAACCTCCTTTCTGCAGAATCGGACGCAGGCAGCAATCGAGACGCACAGAGTAACAATCACGGTGCTTTTTGTGAAAACGAATGTTTATAGTAAAACTCGTGTGGTGTGTGCGAGTGTGTGCTTATCGTTGGTAATAATCGACCAAAGGAAAGTGTGGCCGAGTCTCACGACCCTTCTTTGCAAGAGGACTCTGCTTGGGATGGTTTTTTATGTTTTGGTGGCTTTGCACAAGTAACGACGTGAGGAACACCCAGAGAAAACGAAGTCGTACAAGAGGGGTGGTCTCCTCTTGTTCGACTTATTTCAGGCAGTCGCTGTATTATATATATAGCAGAGGCCGTGACCTAAAACCTGGACTTATGTATTTTTCAGTTGAAGGTACTGTACTGTTATTGCTAATAACGGCTGTGGTAAAGTGTACACAGCCTGCGGTATGTATGTTGAACGTAGGCCAACCGTGCTAATCGGAGGTGCATGGTGCATAGCTTTAGACTTTACCAGATTGTCTCGACGATGATAGATAACACGTGTTAGAAATGTCTTAAACCCTCCTGACACGAACGCGACTAATGTTTTTTGAACGCATCGCTGAGTTGCAGCATTTTTTACGGGCCAACGTGCGCTGTCGGTTTCACGATTAAGACAGCCGCCGCTCGCGAAGCGCGTCGTCTCCTCCGCCGAAGGCTCTCACTCTCCGAACGGTTTCCCCTGTCGTGTGTCAGGCGCGGGATGAAGAACCGGGCTCCTCCGCCCCCTCCGGGCGTTGCTCCCCTTCGATTGCCTCGGTCCCCCGAGGCTGAGCCCGCCTCGGCGGACAGGGCCGGAGCGATTCCATCTGCCAAGGTGGCAGCGGCGGCGCTGTCTTCGGACAAGGGCGATTCCCCGCCGGCCATCAAGGCGGCTAGCGGGAAGCCGCCCGCCGAGAAGGGCGCGACGCTGCCCGCCACGAGAGTGGGATCTCCGCCGCTGGAACGGGGCGGAACTCTGTCGCTTGCCAAGGGAGGAACGCTGCCTTCGCGGGGAAAGGCGGCTGCCCCCAAGCCTCCGCTGGTGGCGAGGGGCCAGAATGTGTCGTGCTGCGAGGTGGAGTTCTCCGTCATCCTGCCGTCGGGACAGCTGCACAGCGCCACGTCTGAGAAGCGGTAGGGAGCCCCGTGACCCCGCACACCTTGACCCCGCGCACCTTGACCCCACGCACCTTCACCCCGCGCACCTTGACCGCACACCTTGACCCCGTGCACCTTGACCCCGCACACCTTGACCCCACACACCTTGACCCCGCGCACCTTCACCCCGCGCACCTGGACCCTACACACCTTGACCCCGCGCACCTTCACCCCACACACCTTGACCCCGCGCACCTTGGCCCCACAAAACCTTGACCCTGCACACCTTGACCCCACACACCTTCACCCCGCGCACCTTGACCCCGCACACCTTCACCCCGCGCACCTTGACCCCGCGCGCCTTGACCCCGCACACCTTGACCCCACGCACCTTGACCCCGCACACCTTGACCCCACACAGCTTGACCCGTGCACCTTGACCCCGCATTCCTTGACCCCGCGCACCTTGACCCCGCACACCTTGACCCCGCGCACCTTGACCCCACACACCTTGACCCCACACACCTTGACCCCATGCACCTTGACCCCGCACACCTTGACCCCGCGCACCTTGACCCCACACACCTTGACCCCGCGCACCTTGACCCCACACACCTTGACCCCGCACACCTTGACCCCGCACACCTTAACCCCACACACCTTGACCCCGCACACCTTGACCCCGCACACCTTGACCCCGCACACCTTGACCCCGCACCATGACCTAATTTTGACCCCGCGCACACTAACCCTGTACTCCACGACCCTTTACGTCCTGACCCTGCTGACTTTCGCGCGCGTGCACCTTGAACCCTGTGCGCTCTCACCTCGTGCACCTAAGGTGCGTTCCACAGGGAGAGAAGGGATATTTGATGTCTAATGGGGATCCTGGCCACGCGTCTCGCCTGCCCAGTCCGCATTAGACGCTTGTTCTTCGCACACGGTGTCAACGCTGGCGTTGGAATTGCCTTTTGCGTGTTAAATACGACATCGGGCGAGGTGAGAAGTCCCAGCTCAGCCACAGGGGAGCTGTTATTTAGTGTCTCGAGTGGAGTACATTGAGTGGACAGGCGTGGAAGGTGTCATGAATGACAACGGAATTATGTCAATCCAGGGCTTAAATTCAGCCAGGTCTGTTCGGGTCAATGACCCAGAAAATATGTTTGCACACGTCACACCGCATCTAGTCTACATCTCACTATGGCTGTGGCTACGAGTCATGTGCCACGTACTTCAGTATATCACCAATCTTGAACATGTTCAGTGAGAAATGAAGCCCTGGGTAGAATCCCATGGTTATTCTCCTGCAGTTAATTCATGCAATCTTACTACTTAGCCATTATTATGGGCTGTGGGTAGCAGCGGGCAGTGCAGAAAAAGACATTGTTGTACCGTACTTCTACGCTCCCTTGTCTACGCTCCCTGCCTTCACCAACCCGTGCTCACCAGCCCGCACTGCCAGCCTATGTGTAGGAATTTTGATATGATGAGGTAATTATTTTTTTATATTCCAGCTTCCTCCTGCAGGGACACTGTAGAACTCTTTCAAGAAGTGGCCAATAATGCTAACAAAGAACCCTCACGGAAAAGTTCCCAGAGACTCAGTGAGGCTTTGCTGGGCAAATAAAGCCCTACCATTAAGTTATATTTGCTCATTGAGGTCTGCGCCTGATAGTTTACTGGGTGATTGGCTCAACCTAATGTCTGGCACGAGTTGTGCGCAGGCGCATTCTTGACAGTCTGCGAAACATCGCGCTTTCCGCCGTGATAGGACAGAACAAACAATTTTAACGAACAAGTGAGACACTGCGCAACTGTGCACAGAAAAAAATATATCGATTTCATTCGCAGAACTCAAAACCGCTTGCATGGCCTCGCACCGCAGAGGTCGAAGGCGTTTTGGTGCAAGGTCACTCACCATTGCTCGAGGCTATTTCTAGCCCAGGATTTCTAGTCCCACATAGCAGTTGCATGACTCTTGTCTCAGAATGTTTTGGAAAAAAAAAATGTGTATTCGTGGTGGCCGGTCAATGGCTCTTGCAACTCTGACAATAATGGACGCAAAACGCCCGTCACTGTAGTGTACATGCGGCTGTGCGCTTCATTTGACTGAACATTTATAAATAAATCACGGATATCTGACGCTGCCAAATCGCTCTTTATAGAGCATGGAGAACAACGTTTGTGTGGTGGTGGTGGTGATGGTGATGAGAGAAGCAATTTACATTTGTGGCACGAGTGGAACTGTGGGCATCATCTTCCACGTCGCTTCCCCAGCATCACCTGCCAATGCTGTTCTGTTTCTTCCTCCGGTTCCTTGGCCTTCTGGGCCATTGGGCCACGTGACCGTTTCCTTCACCAATACCTCCTTCCCGTGGTCTCTCTCCACTTCTCTCTGTCCGTCACTGCCAATTTCAACTGAGCGAGCTCCCATCCCCATACAGTGTTTGATGTTTGACGTCCGGTCAGACGGCGGCCTTTCTCTTCCCTGAGCACCTTTCAGTGTTTCCTCCATCGCTGTCCTGTCCAGCCGGTCACCATTCATCCTTGTCACGTGCATGACATATTGCAGGATGCTGTGGCTGCAGGAAATGTTCAGCTCATTTCTTTGCCTGTGATTTAACTCAAATAACACACATTTAGAGAACGTACGCAGGTTAAAGACGTCCGGTTAAAGGCATCGTTCTGACTGTTAACCCTTTCCCGTTCTGAGATGTCTGCCACTTGCAGGGTGGGTCCCGTTCGCCACTGATTCTCGGAACGCTCCAGCGCTTAGCGTTAATTTTATTTAAGAGAAGCATAGCGCCGTTGTTTTTAAAGACCTTGTACTCACCGCAGAGAACTGTAACGACACGACCGCACTCTATGATAGCTGCCGTCGAACTGTGCCACACGCCCCTCCCTCATGGCCTTGTGAGAGCCTCAGTACGTCTTCGGACGTGGAGACGCACCAATAAAGTTATGTTATTTATTTATGATGCTGATGATGCTGATGCAGATGACAATGCTGCTTGTTTTGTGCAGGAAAGCCTCATTGAGTTTAAAGACTATTTATCCAGAGAGTCCTGCCAAGTTCTCGCAGTAGGGGGCGATGATGCTGCTGCTGTGTGTGATCCCAACTGAGTTATTATCAAGTCCATTATTAGTACCTGTATTGGGATGTTTGGCCAATACAAGTTACATTTTATACAAACTCCACACACAGAGAACATACAAACTACACACACAGAACATACAAACCCCACACAGAACATACAAACTACACACACAGAACATACAAACTACACACACAGAACATACAAACTACACACAGAACATACAAACTACACACAGAACATACAAACTACACACACAGAACATACAAACTACACACACAGAACATACAAACTATACATACAGAACATACAAACTACACACAGAACATACAAACTACACACACAGAACATACAAACTACACACAGAACATACAAACTACACACAGAACATACAAACTACACACAGAACATACAAACTACACACAGAACATACAAACTATACACAGAACATACAAACTACACACAGAACATACAAACTACACACAGAACATACAGACTACACACAGAACATACAAACTACACACACAGAACATACAAACTACACACACAGAACATACAAACTACACACAGAACATACAAACTACACACAGAACATACAAACTACACACAGAACATACAAACTACACACACAGAACATACAAACTACACACAGAACATACAAACTACACACACAGAACATACAAACTACACACACAGAACATACAAACTACACACAGAACATACAAACTACACACAGAACATACAAACTACACATAGAACATACAAACTACACACACAGAACATACAAACTACACACACAGAACATACAAACTACACACACAGAACATACAAACTACACACAGAACATACAAACTACACACACAGAACATACAAACTACACACACAGAACATACAAACTACACACACAGAACATACAAAATACACACACAGAACATACAAACTACACACAGAACATACAAACTCCACACAGAACATACAAACTACACACACAGAACATACAAACTACACACACAGAACATACAAACTACACACACAGAACATACAAACTACACACACAGAACATACAAACTACACACAGAACATACAAACTACACACAGAACATACAAACTACACACAGAACATACAAACTACACACAGAACATACAAACTACACACACAGAACATACAAACTACACACAGAACATACAAACTCCACACCGAAAGGCACCTGCATCGGGAATCAAACCGAGGCACTTCTAGCTGTGAGGGGAAACTGTTAACACGACGCCACCCTGCGAGTCAATGACAGTGATATAGCGATCAATGCTGATGTGACAGGCAGTACCAAATGACACAAAAACAAATGCTCATTGGCTAATATGAAGAAAACGGAATGCCCGCAGACGATAACGGATAACGGATAATGCCGTGGACTACGATTCATCCACGTGACCCTTTCCTGTTCGTCGCCTTAATCTGCCGCGATGCCGATTGCTCCCACCAGCATCCCCATGATGGACGTGCTGGTGCGCCTGTGCGCGTGGTACCGTCTGAGCCCGGCGCGCCACGCGCTGGAGCTGTACTCGCGCGTGGACGGCCGCCTGCTGCCCTTCAAGCCCAACACGGCCATCGGCAGCCTCCCCGTGGGGGCCGTGCGGCTCATCGAGCGGGAGCCGCTGGACGCGCGCAGGGCCCACCGCTCCAATGCGCCCGAGGTGAGATCCTGCCCCCCCCCACCCACCCCGCGAGGTGAGCCCCCCTTGAATTGAGCCCTTCCCCGAGGTGAGCTCCCCTGCCCCCTCCCCCCCCCCCCCCGAATCCTTCCCAAGCGAGAGGCTCATCGGTGGCCGTGGCGCCGTCGTCTGACGCGACTGCCCCAACATGACCACCACTCATCGGCAGTAGCAGCAGAAGCCTCAACATCATCAACGGCAGCATCACCTGCACTGTCATCTGACACGACCGCCACGGCAACCATCAGCCGCAGCATTGTGGTCTTGAGCAGTAGCAGAAGCATGATTATTATCACAGGAGCCTTTCAAAACCATCACTTTACCCTACATTGCGGGGATCACAAAAAAGATCTCCAAAATCTTGAATAAACACAAGATCCAGGTCCGTTTCAACACATTACATAAAATCCGTGATCTGGTTCCGTCTGTAAAAGATGTGATTCCGGACATACAGTACCCTGGTGTCTACAAACTAAGTTGCCTCTGTGGTAGTAGTTACATTGGAGAAACCAAACGCCATGTCTCGGACCGCATTCGTGAACACAAAGCAGCCCTTAAACACGGTAGGACCAACACCTCGGCCGTAGCAGATCATTGTTCTAATTCAGTAGGCTCACATGCCATTGACTTTTCCAAGACAGAGGTTCTTTGTAAGCCATCTGGCTACCATGAGAGATTCGTTCATGAGGCTATCCACATATATAAGCATAGAGATAATTTCAACCGAGAAGATGGATTCTGGCTTAGCAATCATTGGAAAGATTTGATTAACCATTTCAGGTCTTAATTGATTGTTCATGCTTACAGTGGCTTTCAGACAGCATACATTAATTTTTTGTCTCCCCCCTCCTCTTTTCAGAACATAGATGGACTAGTCCTTCTAAATAAACTGCCAAATCGCTGCGCGTGGCGCTGACGTTTTTTTAGAAATAAATAAATACACCGTTTAAAAATAAATAAATTTATGCAAACGACACACCTGATGACGATCGTTTGTGTTATGGTCGAAACGTCAACGTGACTTTACCGAAAGAGCTAAGAATATAGCAATATCATCATCAGAGAAGCATCATCATCATCAATAATGTATCCACCTATCTTGAAAAGGGATAAATGTTCATGAAATGCCGTGGTGTCGGAAGTACTCGGACAAACATTGACTTTTTCATCCTCGCTGGGGTGACAGTGGTGGTGCATTCAGTTTTGGGTATTTGTCAAACCAGTGAGAAACTTTGCCGCTTGCGCGTGCACGTCATGATATGGGGCGGTTTCCATCCAGCAGCGGAATGGATGGCCGCAAGTAAGTATCGGTAAATCCCGGACACTCGGCATGGGATGACGGAGGCGCAAAAGAGTCACGCGTGTCGCGTTCCCTCGCGCGTCGCACATTTCGGAGTCGGTAACAAATTTGACAGCCACTTCCGTTGCGCGGGATGCTGCCTGGCAAGAGCTGCACGCAGCCCAGAGGCGTGGGACATCTTTCACGGTTGCCCAGTTCAACGCCTAAACACACGTCGAAAAGCACGTACACAGAAACCAGCTGATAAATAGATGGCGCAATCTGCTGCGCTCTGGAACGCGGCTCTGGCAGGACATCGCATTACAGAGCTGCGTCGTTCCATTTGTCGTCTCCTTTTGGAGTAGGCACGAAAGAATTCACGTTGTGACCGATTGATTTGTCCAGGGTTCAAGTCAAATTCGGTCAAAGAATCTCTCTGCTCAAACGAGTGATACTGTAAGCGGCCCTCATCTACATCACTGAGCCAGTGGTGGGAGATACACATTCCCATAGCAGTAGCTCTTGTCTGTGTCGGATATTCTCCAGCATTACGTGAAAAAAACTATTTGTAAACTAATTTTATTTTTTAATTGGCAGGAAAAATTCCTTTTCCATCTACATCGGCTGTTACCGGTTTACTTACTAAATAGGGCAGTTGAGGACCATTTCATTTTAACATTTCAAAATATTACTCGATGAGATAAACCAACTACAAACGAGTTCATTCTTGATGAATGTGCTTGCAGCACTTTCTATTTTAGTTTAAGTCGATGCAGTTAATTTCGTTAATGACGGCATCCCAAATGGTCCTAATTTGCTGACCGTTGGAGCCTCATTTATGAGCCTATAAATACCGCTATGAACGCTGGGTCACTGAGTGAATTCCATCACGCGGTGACTCACGTGGCTAATGACACGCACACACACAAACGAGTAACACACACACACGAGTAACACACACACACGAGTAACAAATACACAGTTCCCCGAGTAGCCTACACAGGTTGTTGTGAAGAGTGCCGTGAGCGAGCACCTAATAGGCGAGCACTGCTCATGGTGGTGTGGCCTGGACCACCTCTGTCTCCCCAGTGCTGATGTTTACACGCCACACCAGAGAGACTCATTTAAAGCTGAGTCGACCTAGGGGAGGCCAAGGACGGATTATCCACGAGCAGAATGAGAAATCAGGCCCCCGGGTTAATTGTGAAGTGCGCTAACCACTGTGCTACCGGTCCCTTCGTAAGAACACTCGCACATTCATTCACACGTGCACGTCAATGACGCGATCTGAGCACATTCCTGGTTTTCTTGGCAGGAAAACAAAAGAGCCTCGCTCTCCTACCCCGGCAGCGAGTACCCGCTATCAACTAGGCATTTAAAGCGCCGTTTTAAATGTCATAAATAAAAAGAGCATGCTGGTGCTTTGAGATACGACGTCCTGCGTATCTCGTGGTTATAGATTAAGCAGGAGCGTCATGAGCTGGGAATATATCCCTCTGCTCCGGGCTGTACGACCAGAGATATGTGACCGTGTTAATTTGATGGCCTGTGAAGGTGAAACACGTTTAGCGCTGCTGTGTGGATTTATCTTCCAGAGTCTCGACCTGAACGGCGCAACACCGAGCCGAATGACTTGACACTGATGTTTCGTCCTGATGAACAAAAACCACGTGGCTGTAAACAAAAACAGACGAGGCCTGTTTGTTTTTTGTTTACACTGTAACTTGTAACACTAACTTGTTACTATGTAACTTGTTACAGTGTAACTTGTAACACTAACTTGTTACCATGTAACTTGTTACAGTGTAACTTGTTACCATGTAACTTGTAACACTAACTTGTTACCATGTAACTTGTTACCATGTAACTTGTTACAGTGTAACTTGTAACACTAACTCGTTACCATGTAACTTGTTACCATGTAACTTGTTACCATGTAACTTGTAACACTAACTTGTTACCATGTAACTTGTTACAGTGTAACTTGTAACACTAACTTGTTACCATGTAACTTGTAACACTAACTTGTTACCATGTAACTTGTTACAGTGTAACTTGTAACACTAACTTGTTACCATGTAACTTGTTACAGTGTAACTTGTTACAGTGTAACTTGTAACACTAACTTGTTACCATGTAACTTGTTAGACTGTAACTTGTTACCATGTAACTTGTTACAGTGTAACTTGTAACACTAACTTGTTACCATGTAACTTGTTACCATGTAACTTGTAACACTAACTTGTTACCATGTAACTTGTTACCATGTAACTTGTTACAGTGTAACTTGTTACAGTGTAACTTGTAACACTAACTCGTTACCATGTAACTTGTTACCATGTAACTTGTTACCATGTAACTTGTAACACTAACTTGTTACCATGTAACTTGTTACCATGTAACTTGTTACAGTGTAACTTGTTACAGTGTAACTTGTTACCATGTCACTTGTAACACTAACTTGTTACCATGTAACTTGTTACCATGTAACTTGTTACAGTGTAACTTGTAACACTAACTCGTTACCATGTAACTTGTTACCATGTAACTTGTTACCATGTAACTTGTAACACTAACTTGTTACCATGTAACTTGTTACAGTGTAACTTGTAACACTAACTTGTTACCATGTAACTTGTAACACTAACTTGTTACCATGTAACTTGTTACAGTGTAACTTGTAACACTAACTTGTTACCATGTAACTTGTTACAGTGTAACTTGTTACAGTGTAACTTGTAACACTAACTTGTTACCATGTAACTTGTTAGACTGTAACTTGTTACCATGTAACTTGTTACAGTGTAACTTGTAACACTAACTTGTTACCATGTAACTTGTTACCATGTAACTTGTAACACTAACTTGTTACCATGTAACTTGTTACCATGTAACTTGTTACAGTGTAACTTGTTACAGTGTAACTTGTAACACTAACTCGTTACCATGTAACTTGTTACCATGTAACTTGTTACCATGTAACTTGTAACACTAACTTGTTACCATGTAACTTGTTACCATGTAACTTGTTACAGTGTAACTTGTGACAGTGTAACTTGTTACCATGTCACTTGTGACAGTGTAACTTGTGACAGTGTAACTTGTGACAGTGTAACTTGTTACCATGTAACTTGTTACCATGTAACTTGTGACAGTGTAACTTGTTACCATGTAACTTGTAACACTAACTTGTTACCATGTAACTTGTTACAGTGTAACTTGTAACACTAACTTGTTACCATGTAACTTGTAACACTAACTTGTTACCATGTAACTTGTTACAGTGTAACTTGTAACACTAACTTGTTACCATGTAACTTGTTACAGTGTAACTTGTTACAGTGTAACTTGTAACACTAACTTGTTACCATGTAACTTGTGACAGTGTAACTTGTTACCATGTAACTTGTTACCATGTAACTTGTTAGACTGTAACTTGTTACCATGTAACTTGTTACAGTGTAACTTGTAACACTAACTTGTTACCATGTAACTTGTTACCATGTAACTTGTAACACTAACTTGTTACCATGTAACTTGTTACAGTGTAACTTGTTACAGTGTAACTTGTAACACTAACTCGTTACCATGTAACTTGTTACCATGTAACTTGTTACCATGTAACTTGTAACACTAACTTGTTACCATGTAACTTGTTACCATGTAACTTGTTACAGTGTAACTTGTGACAGTGTAACTTGTTACCATGTCACTTGTGACAGTGTAACTTGTGACAGTGTAACTTGTGACAGTGTAACTTGTTACCATGTAACTTGTTACCATGTAACTTGTGACAGTGTAACTTGTTACCATGTAACTTGTAACACTAACTTGTTACCATGTAACTTGTTACAGTGTAACTTGTAACACTAACTTGTTACCATGTAACTTGTAACACTAACTTGTTACCATGTAACTTGTTACAGTGTAACTTGTAACACTAACTTGTTACCATGTAACTTGTTACAGTGTAACTTGTTACAGTGTAACTTGTTACCATGTAACTTGTAACACTAACTTGTTACCATGTAACTTGTGACAGTGTAACTTGTTACCATGTAACTTGTGACAGTGTAACTTGTTACCATGTAACTTGTTACCATGTAACTTGTTAGACTGTAACTTGTTACCATGTAACTTGTTACAGTGTAACGTGTAACACTAACTTGTTACCATGTAACTTGTTACCATGTAACTTGTAACACTAACTTGTTACCATGTAACTTGTTACCATGTAACTTGTTACAGTGTAACTTGTTACAGTGTAACTTGTAACACTAACTCGTTACCATGTAACTTGTTACCATGTAACTTGTTACCATGTAACTTGTTACCATGTAACTTGTAACACTAACTTGTTACCATGTAACTTGTTACCATGTAACTTGTTACAGTGTAACTTGTGACAGTGTAACTTGTTACCATGTCACTTGTGACAGTGTAACTTGTGACAGTGTAACTTGTGACAGTGTAACTTGTTACCATGTAACTTGTGACAGTGTAACTTGTTACCATGTAACTTGTGACAGTGTAACTTGTTAGACTGTAACTTGTTACCATGTAACTTTTGACAGTGTAACTTGCGACAGTGTAACTTGTTACCATGTAACTTGTGACAGTGTAACTTGTGACAGTGTAACTTGTTACCATGTAACTTGTGACAGTGTAACCTGTGACAGTGTAACTTGTGACAGTGTAACTTGTGACAGTGTAACTTGTTACCATGTAACTTGTGACAGTGTAACTTGTGACAGTGTAACTTGTGACAGTGTAACTTTGTTACCATGTAACTTGTTACCATGTACCTTGTTACAGTGTAACTTGTGACAGTGTAACTTGTGACAGTGTAACTTGCTACCTCCAACAGTTTCCCTCCCCAGATGTGTTCCGCAATGTCGACCTCTCAGCCGTGGTGCAGGGAGCCCAGTGACTCATGGACTATAGTTTTAGTTTCCTCGGGACAAGACGCACTCCTGCGTTGTTTCCGCATTGTTTCGTCGTGTTGCTTCCGACGATGTTGCCCGACGTTTTGCTCCACGTGCTGGGGGTTTCTCCAGGAACTGCACAACCCGAGAAACACACCGGGTAGCTCGAGAACACAAATGGTGGCTGCATGCACAGAGCTCAAACACACCGCACACAGCCTTGTTTGTTTACCCATCAATTTATTAACACCGATGGATACCACAACAGCGGTTGCCTTATGTGTATAAACCCACCCCTGCCATAGGAACGTGGAACTTCCATCACTGACTCGGGGCTGTATACGGTAGACGAGCATAGCCATTGTGCCCATATGAGCCCAAAAACAAACTTTGATAATTTTGTCACACCTAAAAAAAAAATGTCCCGTTGCATGATTTTGTCATTTTGGTTTGTGCGTGCGGACAGCCGACGGTGCGGCTGGTGGTGAACCTCTCGCGCACGCAGAAGGAGTTCCTGCGCGTGAGCCGGCGCGTGCCGCTGCGCGTGCTGCTGCCGGCCATCGCGGCCAAGAGCGGCCTGGAGCCGCGCTCGCTGCTGCTGTTCCGCGACGCGACGCAGGCCGAGCGCGTCGACCCCGCGTGCTCGCTCGCCGAGCTCGGCATCCGCGAGCTCTACGTCGTCGACACCAGCAAGGGTGAGAGAGGCGCGCGGCCCCTCGACCCCCTGACCCCTGCCGCCGCCACCTCCTCCTATCGCGGCGTTGTCGGGGCTGCGTTTCGAGCTCGTGGGCCGTAATCCCGATGATTAAGTCGACGGTTTGATCGCCCGATTCGAGGGCTCGTTCGATTACGCGAGTGATCGGAGGGCACGGCGTTCGCTGGGAAGAAAACCTCTCGCCTCTGTGCCGCTGGACGGGAGGTGAGGGACGGGGCTTTAGTGGCGTCATCGGCATCATCAGGCGCGTCACTGTGGCCGTGGCTCGTAGAGAGGGCTTCCAGACTTCCATTTTAAAAGAGGCCAGATTAATCTCCATACATATAAAAGGCAACGTTGTGATTATGTGTGTCTGTTCAAAATGTTTATTGTACTTCCCGACATGCAACAAACTGGAAATTTGCCATGTGGGTACTTTCCAGACTGTACACCATGCAAAAGTTATAAAAATACACTTTTTTGGGGGGGGGGAGCTAAATAATGCATTTATTTTTTTCACGGCAAGTGAGCTGTGACGTCAATTTGTCACGTGACCCGCGCATGTGGAAGCGTAACGCATGGTAGTGTAGCATTTAGCGCGCCGCGCTACGAACACGGCGACCGGCCACCACCGGTGACGATTATTTTAACCGGTCTTGGGCCTCCCCTAGGTCGACTCAGCCTCAAACGAGTAACTGGTGTGGTGTGTGAACATCGCCACTTGGGGGACAAAGGCGGCCGGGCATGGTGAATCCAAGTCCAGGGCGAAGCCGGGTAGTACAGCTAGTCTACCATAAAAAAAAGTAGTTGATTTAACTTTAATTCAGTTAGTCTACCGAATCGACGAATGTTCCCAAAATAAACACAAATCTTGGATTTCTATCGACATCCATGAGCCTCATCATCGATTAAAAATAATTTTCCAGGATCTTTTTTTCTGAACTCTTTTGAGCGTGGCATTGAGAGTGGCAGTGTTTTGTTGGATAGCTCCTGCCTGGATCACCAGCCAAGCCAAGTAATATTTGTGAAATGGACTACACCCTGCTGATGAGATACAGAATAGTGCATACTGTACTAGTCGAGGTTTTGTAATTTGGCCAAAAGACACATTGCCCGATGTACGTAATTGTAATGTTATTCAGTGATAAAACAGACACAGATGGCTTTCCTATTTATGTATTTTGTAATAATAATAATAATTTGTATTTATTTGTTTGCTTGGGAAAGCAAAGGCACACCGAGTCCCAAGCTTCTCTTCATTGGGTATATTTGGCCGGCTACATGTTCCAGGATTTATTTTGAGTGTGGGAGGAAACCAAAGTGCCCGGAGAATTCTCAACGCCAAGCTACACGCGGTTGGGTCACCAACCTCGGGGAAGGTTTTTCCTGCGCTCGTTTTTTGTGAAAAAATTGTTTGTGAAATAAATGTAATGCTTGTTTATCTGTACTTATTTACACTTCTCATTTACACCCCCCCTCCCGCCTACCCCTCCACCATTCAAACAAGCTCTCATCTCTACACGCTGGCATCTTTGAGTCAGTCACGGAAATTCCACATCTCTATGGCAGGATCCATCCTCCCCATAGTGAAGTCGACAGTAACCTATTTATCCGCGTGATGCAATAGTTCACACACCCGCGCTACGAACCTGCCCTCCCGAGTTCGATCCCTGGCCATGGTATCACCAACCCGTAGTGGCGTATGGTGAAGCAATCCCCGTGTACCGACATGGCACGGGGAAGGCCTCCATCCGGCAGTTAATTGACAAGAGCGCTGTACGCTGCGTTCATTCACCCCTTTATTTTGATAAAACCCAGGCAGGATGCGTGACTGATTGGGAACCCGTGTGGTTATTTCCTTGTGAGTGAAGCACAGGTTACAGTCAAACGCACCGATCTCTGTTGCACGTCCATCACGAACGGCCACACTTTTTGAAAGACTCTTTGCCTTTATTTTAAGTTCTCATATGCAAGATATGTTAAAACAGTGATAACTATGACACCGCCTAGCCAGATATCGCTGTTCGGCCTGTCACAGTGTGTGGTTGTTGATTGACTAATGATGACACGGGTGACAAAAGGCCCTCCAGGTTGTAGGAATTGACAGCGGCATTGTCAGTGACGTCAAGCTCTCTACTTCTTGTTCTGTGTTTTGACAGCGGCCACGCTATGCCATCCCATCGTGCATGGCTCCCACACCTACCCAGGTAGGGACCCCACCCACGCCTGCACCTCGCACTGCCGCGATGTCTCTCTCATCGGCCCACGCAGCTTGGGTGCCGGGGACCAGACCGCAGAAAAGAGAGATGCGCAGACAAATAGACGGACAGGAACATTGCCACAGAGAGAGAGAAGAGAATAGAGGCAGACACAGACAGACGCAGAAACATAGAGGCATAAAGATAAAAAAATACACAGACGCAGAAAAATTTACACAAACAGAAACATAGCGACACAGCGGGACAGGTATGAAAAAGGACACAATCAGAGATAGACAGATACGGAATGAGAGAAACGCAAATACACATCGAAACACACAGAGGTAAAGACACACAGAGAGAAAGAAACGGAAACAGATCGGCAAAAGACAGAGACACAGCGACACAGAAATCTAGAGACACAGGGAGAGACAGATACATCGGGGGAGACATAGTGAGGGGGTCAAACATGACCACAGAGACAAGAGACGCACGCAGATTGAGGCCACCGTAACTTGCAACCCCGGCTGACAATCCCTCGGGGCTGCCCCGGGTACCGCGTCTACCAACCGGGCCCTGTCAGCGAAAACAACGATCCTCTCACCAGTGGCCATGCATTTGTTGGACAGGGGCCCGCAGACAACCACCGCCCCCTCCTGGAGTCACAGAGCATGCTGGGAAGGAAAACGCGGGCATCTTCAGCTGCCTTCGGCCCCGAAAGAAAAAGCTGGTGAGTCTATCACACGTTGTTGATTTGTTTTACATGTTTTGAAATACTGAGAGTGTTATGAATAAATGTGCAGCGGCTGGCGCGCTGCGCTACAAACCCGGCGACCCGAGTTAGATTTTCGCTCACGGCAACCACCAGTGGCGATTATTTGAAACGGTTCCAGGCCTCGCCTAGGTTGACTCAGCCTCAAATGAGTAACTGGTAACATGTGTAAACATCGCCACTGGCCGTGCCGGCCTTCATAGGTGCTCGCTAACAGCACTTGCCCTAATAGCCTGTTAAGGCTATATGGGGGATCTGTGTCTTTGCTATGAGCAATTATCATACTTATTGTATGTAATTGCCTAATTTGGCTGTGATTGTTGTTCTCTACATTACCAGTGAGTGATCTGAAATGATAATAATTGGCGCGTTAAACGCTTGCACACCAATGCAACAATTACTTTTGTTTGATTATGTCGGGCGGTGGAAGGTCTTACGACATAAATGTGGTCAGATCATTACATGGCCCAAGTAAAACATCAATTATGAATCCTAACATTGGCTGCGAAAAAACCCAGCGCATGAGGAGCATTACAGGGCAGAGCGGAGACGCAGTGGCACACCACACGAACCCCGACCACCTTGGTTCGATTCTCGGCCAGGGCTCACATCAGGGGCGAGTGACATCGTAACCGGTCCTTGGCCTCCGCTAATTCACCAACTCAAATTGACCGGCGTGGTGAAGTATGTTCAGACAGCCTCCGTCATTGACAAGGCGTGGGTGGGCTCTGATCCAGCAGTGGTTTTACAGAGGGCTGTAAATTCCAGAGCAGCGTTATCCATTGCAAGGCCACTGGTAGCCCCTGGTGGCCTTTAGTGTGGCCCTCCACCGACAAGACGGAACACGTGGCAACACCCCTTGTCGGCGGCGTGGCGGCCCTCACACTGATGACGTCTTATCGGCAAAAGTGGCCCCCCTCTGAACATGAGTGAAGAACGCTGCTCTAGAGGCTCGTGACGCCCCGGGTTCTCGGCTTACAAGGGTTCGCTCCTGTCCGGATGACTTGTCACAGTCCGTGGGGTCGAGGCTCGAGTCACTAAGACGTTTTTGTCACTAGTTTCTACAGGAGCTCTGAATCATGTAAAAAACAACTACACGCAATATGTAAACCAATTACATACAACGTATGCCAATCAAAAATAGCACAATCGATTCTTTGCGAGCACGATTCGATGCCTGCTCCGTGAGGTCAATCTCTTCCCTGGTTAAACAAAATCGACTTGACTTTAACTAACGAATCATTAACTCGGATACTGGTCACCTCACGGATTCCACTCTAACATCGATTTCCGAATCAAATCGTGAAATCCACGGGACTCACGGCAAAGGTGAACCCGCGACAACTCACCGGTAACATCGGCGGCGCCGTGCAGTCGCGTTCCGCGAGACTGCAGCCTTGATTTGACGGAACTTGCGCGCCCCGCGCGTCTTTGACCCCGCGCGTCGCCGCCGCCGCCGCACGCCCGCAGGTTCACCACTCGGTGCCGGCGTCTCCAGCCCCGGTCCTCGCCGCCGCGGCCCCCAGGAGACGATCGCTCGAGTCGGACGCCCCCAAGAAGCGGCGCGCGCCGGCGCCGCCCATCGTCGCCGCCACGCTGCCTCGCGCCGCGTCCTCCGCTCGGCCCCGCGCGGCGCCGGCCCAGCCCGAGCGGCCCCGCAGCCGCTCCCTCCCGGGGGCCGACTCCGTCGCGCCCGAGCCGAGCGGCGACGGCGGTGCCGATGGCGGCGGCGCCAAGAAGAAAAAGAGGGCCGCCCCGCAGCCCCAGGGGCAGCCGCAGGCGCGGCCAAAGGAGCGGCCGCAGGTGCTGCCTCAGGTTCAGGAGCAGCCTCAGGTGCAAGTGCAGCCAAAGGTTCAGGAGCAGCCTCAGGGGCACTCACAGGAGCAGCCTCAGGTGCAGGTGCAGCCAAAGGTTCAGGAGCAGCCTCAGGTGCAGGTGCAGACAAATGAGCAGCCTCAAGTGCAGCCAAAGGTTCATGAGCAGCCTCAGGGGCAGCCTCAGGTGCAGGTGCTGCCAACGGTGCAGCCTCAGGGGCAGCCAAAGCCACAGGGGCAGCCTCAATCACAGGATCAATGTCACGGGCAGCCGAAGGGGCGTGCTCACCCTCGGACGCAGCTGGTGATCGTCAGCGGGTTGGAGGTGACGGTCATCAAGGACTCGCACCCGGAGAAGCGCGGCCGCTGCGACGGCGAGGCGTGCGGCGAGGCCGACGAGCGACGGTGCAAGGAGGGCGACCGCGGCGATGCCGAGCAAGCGGAGAAGACGGAGTGCGGCCACGGGGAGCGCGCGGCGGGCGGTGGCGGCGGAGATGACGGCACCGGTCCGCAAGCGTTCGGTGCCGGGGCCGGAGGGGATGCGGCGCCAGTGAGGGCGGTACCGGTGAGGGTCGTGCCGAGTTCACCGGAGAAAGGGGCCGGCCACACGGTGACCTGGGCCGACGTGAAGGTGGCGGAGGCCGTTGCGGCGTTGCCGTACATCGACAGCGTTTACGAGCAGGTTCGTGTGGCGACAACCACATCGGTTTCTCTCTTAGTGCCATTCCCCATCAGCCATGATCGATCCGCCGGTGGATGAAGCCCCCCCTCCCCATGGTGTGTCAGTCAGGGGGGCTGTTTGGTCATACTTCCTCATTCTGGACAATGGGTTGCTGGAGGCTAACAGCCAGTTCAGACGTCGCTTGCACTGATGTCAGCCGTGGCCAGGAATTTAATTTCGGTTGGCGGGTTCATAGCGCAGTGCGCACACAACCAGCTCCACCCTGGACACTCTTCATATATTAACCGCCTCATCACTGACTTCTGATGTATTCAATGAAATCGACAAAGCAACGTGTGGTTTATTTTATAGCGTTTTCTTTTCGGGGTCCCACGATCACAAAAGGAGAAGTCCATAGTGGAGGAAGGTAGCTCCGAGATTTACTCAATTCCGACGGATAAGCAAGTAAATTTTAGACAGCGTGTGATGCTACTCCACTCCACGATTCCCTACAATGCCCGAGTAAGCCAAGGAGGTCCTAGGTTGTGACCTGACCGGAAGTGACATCCCAAACCAACAACAGCTCTAATTTTGTAATAGCTGTGCGTCTAAAAGTCTGGTACGCCCATCTCGAACCTTTACAAGCAGCCTGCATCGCAGCTTCCCTCCTCGTTCTTCCGCACGATGACGATTGCTTGCGTTGCGATCGAAACGTCCTGGCATTCTTATTTCTACCTACGGGACTTTACCGAAAGACCCAAAGAATATTGAGATGCGTGTGTATATGATTGTACACGTTAGGCTATTCGAAAGAACAAGACAGAGCAAACAAGGCGAAACATGCGAGAAAAAAATAACACAAACAAGGTAGCACCGAAAAAGACGTGAGAAAATATTTTTTTATGGAATTGTGATCCCACACCATGGCAATGTATCACCTTGCCGAGGCAGTGAGTAGATAAATGCCGCATTTTTTGCTGGCCTTTACTCCGCACGAGCTTTGTCTGCTGTGATAAGGATGGTGTCGGTGAGAGGCAAGGGGGGTCTGGACGATGTTTGGGTGATGTCCACTCTCGGTCCAGGCCCCTTTTTAAAGGGAAAAACGTGAATTCATTTTACGCTGCCGCACGGCTCCCACCAGCAGGTGGAGGCACACCCACGTGTCTGGGGCTGCTGCTCGCGTTCCAGAGTCCCAGGCATTTAGAACATGCAGCGGCAAGGCTTGGACCAATTTACCCCCAGAGATTTGAGGAACGATTACAATTTGGGTTCACGATGCAAGGATGGGTTGGCATCTAGCAGCTTATCCCCACAGATAGTTGATGACTCATCGCAATATGGGTTCACGATCCATTTAAAAGATGGGTTATTTTTTGTGTGTATTGTTTAGGCTCGTGTATTTTTACATTGTTTGTTTTGACTCGTTCGTTATAATAGCGCTTTAGTACGTTAGCGTTACATTCGCATACGATTTTCATTTATTGTAACCGATTCTTTGACGTCAATATTATGCACGTATTGTGACCACCAGAATCAATGAATCTACAACTCATTACATTCCGTTTAAAAGGACGTATGATTATCATGCTATATTATACAAAGTTTTACTGGCTGGGTGCATGCCTGCATGGCCTTCACGTCTGGAGTGAGGGAGGGACGGACGGTTATGTCCAATGGACGTTGGGGGCTGCTAGTTAAATTAAAATAATAATCTCATACGGATGTAATCACGTTTGAGTTTACTGTACTGTACTTCAGTGAAATCTCACAACTCTCACACACTCCATGCAACGCGTGTACCCAGAACGTAAAAGTCGTGTTTTTTGTTGTTAAATCGATTGATGGAGCCCCCCATCGTTGACAGAGGTACAAGGCAGTGCCGCATGCAGCCAGAGTGAGGCGCACCTTAGCAAGACCACAATCAGCTGTTGAGTTAGGGCCATTCACACAACCAGCTTAGATCACCCGCAGCAATGAGCCCTGCTGCACAATGTTGACATGAGCCGAGAAAAACGCGTATTTTTATTTCATTTTGTGTCTCTCTGTCCCCCTGTCTTTTTGTCCATCTGACTAACTCTCTGTCTTTTTAATCTTTCTGCCTGTCCTGCCTGACTGCCTCTATTTTTTACTCGTGGTCTATCTTAGTATATGCGACTGTTCATCTGCCTGTCTGCCTGTCTGCCTGTCTGCCTATATGTGTGCTTGTCCATCTCTCTGTTCACCTGCCTGTCTGTCTGTCTGCCTGCCTGTCTTTGTGACTGTCTGTCTGTCGGTTAACCCGCCTGCCTTCTTATTTGTTTCCCTTCTCTCGCCGCCTCTCAGTTTTGCCAGTCTCTCTCTCTCTCCCCCCTGCCCCTGCCTCTCTGTTTGCCTTTGTCTGCCTGCTGTCGTGTTCACCTGTGCGCTCTCCGCTGCAGGAGGAGCTGCGCGAGGCTTTCCCCAGCATCTCGGCCCACGGCCCGGCCCTGGAGGACGGCGAGACGAGAGGGGGGCGGCGTGGGGCGGGGGCACCCACGGGGCCAGCAGCGTCCCCCTCCTCACCACCCAGCGAGGGGCAGCCCCCACGCCAGGTGAGGCCACGGGTCAATTCCGCACACCCCCTCCCTCCCTCCCTCCACCGTTTTATAGATTATTCGTAAAAAGGGGGGGCTATTGCACAAAATTGTCTCACCGTGCTGGACAACCAAACGATATAACAGAATTATCGTGTGCTCCGGATTGTACGTCGCACAGTTACTCCTGTATTATAAAGCGAGATTTGGGGGTGCGTCGTATAATCCGATTGCTGTGTGTGTGATTTGTAGAATTTGATGTATACTGGGCACACGCTTTTTGGGGTATGTCTTAGTTGGCGGAGTATCTAATGATCCGGAAAATATGTAAAAAAAATTTTTAAAACAATATTCTTTTCTTAATTATTTTAAATTCACCACTATATCCCAATTGCGCTATCGTCTTCACGCTGTTCAGACGAACACATTCCAGCTAGCAGTGCATCACCCTGTGTCAGAGAACGGCTCCGGACGGTGATGCCTTGGAGCTGCTGCAGTCGGCTTCTCTCGTCACGCTGGTGTCACATCGTTGTACATGCCGTGCAGTGGGCATCAGTGGTAGTCGCATGTCCATGAAACAAACCGTTTCTATACTCTTTGGTTCTATTCGGTAAAGTCACGTCTGCACATGTTCACCCCCTCTACACCGTTCACCATGCTAAGTCCGCCAATTGAATGCTAATTTTTATGCTAAATTCCTTTGTCAAGGCACCTTAATTCCTCTCACACAAGCTTAAAGGTCGCGGTCTGAGCTTGGCTGTGTTCACTCCAGCGCTGTCCTCAAGACAGTCTGGTCCCTTCACCTGATGAAGGCCACTTGTGTTGTGGCCGAAACATCGTGAATTTTTTATTTAAATTTTTTGTTGTTTTATACTTTTACGTGACTTTACCGAATAGAACCAAAGAGTATGGATCATTGCAGTCACAAAAGCTTCAAATCTAAAACCGTTTCTAGTCTCAGAGATAGAATTAAATTTGATGGGGTTTTATGTGCAGCAATTAGTAAGTAGATTGAGACCATCGCCTGACTACACTTGAGAACGCAGTCTAATCCCAGGCTCTCAGTGCTGCTGGTTCACTGTACTGAACCCTAACCCACAGGGTGGCTTCTTATTGAAAATAACCTTTGTGTTCAAAGTCTAAGTGATTGCGCTCGAAATTAGTTTGAGACTCATCTCCGATTTACAGCCCTGAGTCGGTCGTGGAGGTTCCACGTCTGCTCTTAATTAGCAGCAGAAGCACGAAGGACCGAGTTTTATCTCCAAGAGCGATGTGCATTCGCAACCTTCCGATTGTCAGCCGTGTGCTCTACCCACTTCCCAACGCGGCCAGCACTCGTCTTGATATCTCACAGGCTTAACCTGTGCGTAACGACGACCAGCATTTATCGCCGGTGAATGTTCGGCGAGAGCGAACGGCGATCGGTTTAATATGTCACGGTGAAAGTGAGCGAATATCGATTCGTCGGGGTCCACGTGCGGCCACGATTTTGGCCGTCTCCTCCTCCTCCGCGCAGCAGCTGCTTTAGCGCCGCTCTGCTAAGCGCGGGCCGGCTGGGGCCGGCTGGGGCCGGCTGGGGCCGGCTGGGGCCGGCTGGGGCCGGCTGGGGCCGGCTGGGGCCGGCTGGGGCCGGCAGGGGCCGGCTGGGGCCGGCTGGGGCCGGCTGGGGCCGGCTGGGGCCCTCGCGGCGTCGCGAGCGCCGTGCTGGTCCGCGCAAGGAGCGACGGGGCGAAGGGTTTTGCTGCGGACGGTCAATGGGTAGCGATTAGCTCCTCGGATTTTGAAGGTTGGTGAAGTGGGGTCAACAATTCCTGCCAATTGTCCCCCATTGCATCTGTGCACGCTCTCGAGCTCGGGGTGCATTTCACGCGGCTGCTTCTGCGAGAGCGGTTGCGTCAGACGGGAGCGTCTAGGTGGGCAGGTGCGTGGGATGGCTCTCGACATGCTCATCGGAACACGCCCACCACGCGCAAAATAATAATTGCGCCGCTACATCGCCGGCTCCCACACACGTGCGCACGCGCGCGCATTCTCAGAATCCCATTGTGATCTCCGACCTGAAGCATTGACGCACGCATTCTGATTTGTGCGTTATGGCACACAATGTCTTTTAGGAAAGGAGTTCTAATTCGGCCCGATTGATGTTTATATCAGGAACGTAGAGACACGTTTTTTTGTAATGTCTAAGCAGACGATGAGCCACGGTCAGTTAATTCCGTCGTTTAAAGTTAGCCTCAAGATTTGTTTTTCACCGTCATCGTCATCATCGCCATCATCATTTATTATTCATACCGCGCCTCCCTTACGGCGCATCTCAAGGCGTCTGAACAAAGTGGTGTTTGAGATCATTACTCGGCAAGGAAGCTATTGCAGATCAAATACAATGTTCAAAAACTATACAGTATAGACAATATCATAATCATACTAATCTCTTATGAAGCTCCTTTGACATCCAGATGTCTGAAAGTGCTGTAGATAAAAAATATATATACACACTTACAAATACAGATACAATTATATCGAAACAATGAAAGGTGATAATAATGATGATAATAATAAACATGCCAACTATACTCGCAATAAAATAAAGAACAAACTACGATAAAAACGGAAAAATAATTACGCTCACAGCGGAGGTAAAATCCACACAGCAAACGAGAATAATCAAACTTGAAGAGCTGAACTGTGCGTCGGTTAATTCTTTGCAGGATCACCGTTTTATAATGCTGGCGATGTTTTTTGGTGACTCACATTACGGCGCAATTTACGATGGCATTCTCTTGTGAATGTGGCTAAAGAAGAACGCGTTTGGTCGTTGCGCGTCAGCTGCTGTGGCACATGGGTGAGGAATGTGGACGCTGGCAGCGACGACGGGACAATACACGGGACGGTGCGCAAAGACGCGCGGGAGAGGTGCACGCTTGGAATCGCGTCTGAGAGGCAGTGGAACACTTTGGTCAGAAAAAATACACAAGCCCGGCACATCGCGGCCACTGTGAAGGAACGTGCGTGCGTTCGCGTAGGGCACATCGCAGGAAGGGGCGATTGGCGGTGGTCGAGACTAATTACAGAGCGGCAGCCAACGGAGGGAACGTGCCTGAGAGAACGTCCACCGTGCAGGAGCCCGCCCTTATCCCTCACGGTCCATCGGTGTAATCATCCATCTCGTGTGCAGGAGCTCGACGGCTTCTAACATCGATGAGTTGAAGTGGCGGTTCGCTTTGGGAAGGCCTTAATCTGGCAGTGGCTCGATCGCGATTTTGATGATAAGAACGGATGATGTTATTTTCGACGGAAGATCCACAAGGCGTTTGCGGAATGGGAGCGCGGGCGCGCCGGTCAAGTTTCACGTCGTCGTCCGCTTCGGCACAACATCGTAGATTCCCCTGTCCACAGTGAGCCATGCGAACGTCACGTTCTCCGATCCCGGAAATGTGCAGCGTGTGTAGCGTCTCCATTAGCGGCCCCTGGGGAGCTGCGCTGAGGCACATTAGTTCAACGTCCTGCCGTAGACCGCCCTTGAGTGTAGTGTTACCGGTTCACAAATCAACATCGTCCATTTGGCAAGTGGTGCACAATACGAGCAGCGATGATGATAGTAATGCAAGTAATGCCCTTAGTCCTATCCAGGAAAGCCTCGGTGAGTCACACAACTGCTTTTCTCTGCTGCTGCTGCTGCCGCTGAGGAACAAAGCGCTGTGCCCCGTGGCACGTCAGCGCCGCCGAGGGCTCGCCAGATGGCTCGCGGAGATGCGCCGACATCGGGGCGCGTTACGCAAGTGGCAACAGAACCGAGAGTGTCACAGCGTCGTGGGCCCCATTGCTCCGTGCGCACCACCACCACCCCCACCACAACTCCCCGCGTTAATGAGCGGTCCCCTCGCTCGTTAGCGACAGGGCGACACAAACTAACGAGCCGGGCCCCTGTAAAGAATTGCATTGTGGGTTTCTCTTGTTTTAATGATGGTGTTTTTTTATTATCAGTCACGTTATTTCTTATACCTAAGAGAATGCTTTCTTTTGCAAGTGTGCGGCGGTCAATATATGGCGCAAGTCTTTGTGAGCTCACGAAATGTCGACAAAACTGGGACAAGAAGAATACTGATGTGATGATTATCATTCATTTTGCAGAGATATGATGATACTGAGTTTTCTGAGGGTTCCTTTCGAAATCGAGCAACCTCTGTGCATATCGTGACAAGGAACCGTAACATTAAGCACACATATAAAATGTAGAAATGGAATTAAAAGCTCAAAAGTGGACAAAGAAGCATGGCGAGGTGCGAGCTTGGATTAAACTTCGAGACTAGAAAGAGCAACACGTGCATCACAGAACGCGCGCACACTCAAGGTAGACGTCACCATTAGGAATAGCACGTGAGTTTTGCGCAGGACACATCGCTGGAGGCGGGACGTGGGGCGGTGGTTGAGAATAACAGTGGAGCTGCGGCCAAAGGAGTGAACGTACTCAAGCAGACGGCCACTGTGGAGATGGAGCGATGGCATCAGCTCTCTCGTGCAGGAGCCAGATAGATTGTTTCATCTCAAGACCAAGACGGGTGGCCACGGCTTTGGGGGAGACCTTCATCAAGCAGTGGATAGGTGATGACGGTGATGGGAAATGGTATTACACGGTGCCTCAATTGTTTTTCTGAAGGCCTGTGTGGTGAAACTACCATGAGGTCATGTTTGGTTTGTGGTTAGTCCCACGTCAGTGCTGTTGTGACTGAAACCTACACTAGAACCGGACAATTCCACTTCTTGCCTTGTCACCACCTGTTTCCGCAGGTAGATTGTGTGAACAAGCGCACGTGCTCGTTGGCTCGTGTTGCGTCATATCCCGACCCTGTCTGCGCGGGGGCGGGGGTGACGCGGTGGTTTTGCGCACCGCGCTACAAACCCGGTGACCTCTCCGTGTTCCATTCCCGGTCACGGACATAGACTCATCGGTGAAGCGGTGTCTGAACCCGCCGTGAGCCTCCTCAAGATTGACTCAGCCTTAAATGTCTACCTGTTGCAGCGTTTAAAGATCAGCACAGGAGAGACAAAGGCGGCCAGGTGTGGCACTAGCCAAATCGCCCATTGTTCTCTGCACCGCCCTTAATAGGTTCTCACTAACAAGATTTCCCCCCGCCAGGGATCTCGGTGCCCGCGCGTGTGTGTGTGTGAGAATTCGCGCACTTGAGCCGCGTGTCCAGTGTTTGTGTTGGGTTTATCGGCACAACAGCGGCCTTGAGCCGCGCTGGGTTCATCACGGAGCCCACGCTCGACAGCGAGCACGAGTGGCTGAGTTATTTGCTGTTTTCTTTGTGAGTAAAGTGACCACGTCGAGCGAGTACACGGACGATTTTCCAGGAATGAAATTAAATAATAATAACAACAACAACAACAATGGCCGCTTCCGATGTTCATCGCCCTCGAGGGGCAACGACGCGGCCGGGCGGTGGCGCTTATTGCAGGGGTTTGTGGTTCGAGCCCCCTGCGGCCGCCCTGGTCAATACGCCGGTGGGTGTATCGACCGGACAATGTCTACGTGCCGTCTGCTCCACAGCGGCCGTGAACGACATCTGCCGCGTCATTCGGAAAACGGGCTACCCACGTTTGTCGGAGTCGCCCTCTAAATTTGCCGTTGCTCAATTGGGTTAGACCGCAGAGCAACTTTGGCCCCTTACTGTGAAACTACTGCACGAGATAATTGTCCGTGAAACATGATCCGCTTCGTCATAGCCTCGCCCCGCCCAGTGTATTATACGTGCCAAGAAATAAGACGCAAGTGCCTTACCTTGACGTACAGAGTTGCAGCAGAGGGAGGGGGCAGAGAGGGCAATGAGAGAATGACATGGGCCAACACTTCAGTGTGCTGGTGATATATATATATTACTCTGCGGCATCACCGTAATTGAGTGTTTCTCTGCAGGTCTTCGACATCAATCAAGCGAGCTGAAAATTGGCGATGGCGAGAGTGATGTTCCTGAAGAGAGAAGCCCTGGTGCCTGGTGGACGGTTGCAGCCATCACTCTCTCCTCACCTTTTCCCCCATCTTTATTTCACATTAAGTCGTGACGTGACATTTGATTGCGATGATTAGCAGCGGGTACCCACGTGCGACTGTCCTTTTCAGCCGCTGACAGCTTCATCGCATATAGACGCGTCCGTGCGTTCAGCGCGCACAAGCTCATTCACATGTATATCTTTTCGTGAAGCTTTTCGTTGTTATTTTTTTTTTATTTAATGGGCATACAGCTACATAACCAAAGAAGCTTAAGCCATTTACTGAGCACAGTTGTGTAAATGACACTGTACGGTATTGTCAGGAATCGTCCCTGAGGCTCGCACTGCGGGCATGTAGGTGTGTGCGGTTGTGGTCCGACGTTTTGCCCCGGTGAGTCGCATCCTGCTGGGAGCTTGCCAATTCGGCATCCCAAAGAAGCTGCCGGCACTGGGAGTCGAAACGGCGCATGTCAAGCCGAGCAGGGCACGGCACTAGCCGGTGCACGGCACGAGCCAGTCCGGCGGGTGACTATGAGAATATGAAATGGTGTTAGGATCCTGTGGAATTCCTTCAGGATTTCTATTTTGACATTTCCTATAGAACCAAACGTTGCTTTGGGTTTTTTTAAAGGTATATCTGATGTTTTTTCATTGATAATGACTGCAACGTTACATTTCTATATAGTTATATATATTCTTAGTTTGCATGTAAGATTACATTTCTAGAGCAAACATAGGCATATATTATGCTTCGAGTGGGTGCTGCAGTTAGAATACAAGTGGCGAGTGATCTCGGAACCGGTTCTGGGTCCTCCCCTTTCACCAACCCACGGTGACCAGCGTGGTGAAGTATGGTTAAACAACCCCCATGACCGACAAGGCGTGGGGAGGACTTCATCCAGCAGTGGATTGACACAAGGACTGAAAAGTATTATTATATCATGATTACTAGGCATACCTTATAGCATTGCATCTGCTGCCCTTTTTAGCTTTGCTTTCGTTAAGAAATTGCAGTATAGAAGTTTTAATTTAGTCGATGCAGAACCCAAAAAAATGTATGTATTGCCTGTGATCGCTGTACAAAATCGTACGGAATTTGTGTAAGTGGTGCCGGTGAATCCAGCTGACTCGGCATTTACAACGACAAAAATCTACATCAAGCGTCCTCCACGGCCGCGCGTGTGTGTGTGCTCCCCTACTCGCTGGCAGCCTCAACAGAGCCCCTTTGATTCCCCTCCGTGACAAGGGCAGAGCTGGAATTTTATTGTAACCCCCCCTCCCGCTCGCCACCCCGTGGAACAAAAGGCGTGGATTTTACATTTAAATGTCAGGCCACTTTCACCGCAGACGAGGCTCCTATGAGACGTCGCAACGCCTGAGCGTTTTTTTTTAATTTCTAATGAAAATCTAACTTTTTTTACGATGTCCTTTTCCCTTTACCAAGGAATTGGAAAATATTTCTCAATTGTTTTTCATTTTCAAAACACAAAGAGAAAGCCAGATCTTTAACCCGACTCAAACAAAATTCAAGAAAGTAAAATCTGTGCGGGATGTGAAGATACATTAAAATGTAATACCGCATGTTTTTGTTGTGCAAGAACCATGTCCCGTGACAAAACATCCACAATTCTGGAAAATGTTTAACGTTCTACGGTGCTAAGGGTTTCTAAGAATTTCCATTTGTAAACATTTAGACGCTCCTATTCGGCTTATGAAATCAATGAGGACAAATTGTAAAATGTCTGTAAATGTTTGCATACTAGCAAAGCTGTTTGCGCAATTGTGTCGCGGGAAGGAAGAAAAAAAAGACGACCTCAGTTTACGTAAAAAGTTACCAGATAGATGTTTTTTTCAAGACAGCAACGGGGTGTTTCGAACTGGCCTGGCTGCTGGTGACGTGCCTAAAATAGACAAACCCCGTTTCTCGGGGGGGGGGGGGGGGCGCAGGGGGTGTTATTTTGGCTGCCCTCATCGAAAGGCCATGTGGCACAAATGAAGAAAACGAAGAATCCTTGGGAAGGGGGAGCCATGGCGCAGCCTGCCCGAATGGGCCACGGTGTGACGTCGCCACCCCACTCACCTGGCAGCTTTGGGCATCGTTCCCACAGGGCTTGCTAGCAAAAACGATGTTATTCATGCCACGGTGCCTTCCAATAATGACAGGACGTGTGAAAGGAGAGGTGAAATGTTCATGTTATTCAGAGATGAAACAAAAACAACCCGTCATTTCTTACCATATAATTCAAGCGTCTTGTGTCACCTCATGATCCTCATCAAAAGCCTGGGGAATGTGTGTAGGCTGCAAACAAAATGTTAATTTCGGAAAAGTTTATAGTGAAATACTGTATGGTAACTACATGCAGCGTGCAGAATATATACATCAATGGTGGCGTTACCTCGACACGCAGAGCATGCTGGGACTTCCTTTTCTGCACTTGCTGTCTGAAAAAAACCCTTTTCGCATGATTATAATTGTCAACATTGTCACAATTTGTGAAGTAAGGCTGCTGTCTACTGCATTTATGCCTCTTTTCTCCCATCCATCCACACATTCACTTGCACATATTGGCCCAAGTTAGGCCTGGTTTTGTAATATTCATCCGTCCAACATCTCTCCACATGTGCCCTCATCCGTGCTCATCTGACGTTTACTCCACCGTTCTCAGGCACGTAAACCTGCAGTGAAATACCGATCCTCTCTTCCTTTGCTTAGAGCCCCACTGACACCGATAATCCCCTACATGTATCGTAACAATCAGCCCGTTCCACGAAGTGGATATACAGCCCTGGCGATTCGGTCTGACAGATGAACGGCACGGCAGTTCACGCAAGTCTGTGCCCGATCACTGCGAATGAGCGTGAAGTGTTACGAGCGTGGGAGGCGCTCAGCGAGATTTGAAGGGGGGGGGGGGGTGAATTTTCTGAAAGTTCCATAAGCGACGATGAACCGTCAGTGGTCGAATGAGCGGAGAGTTTCCAATGATGCAAGCGCCTAACATGCGCGAGCCGCGTAGACTGGGGTCTTTTGAACACAGCCAATCCTTACCTGAACCCAATAACAGATCTCGGCAGGCAGGGCGTGCTCCCTTTTGGCGATGCAACCACTCCGATTGTTCCCCCCGCTCCGACTGCCACTCTTCCCCCGGGTTGCGTCAGAGTGGGCTCGGTGGGGATTGTCCGTAGAAAGTCACCATCCGTATACGGGGCTGCTCTCGAATTGGTTCTATCCAGCACGTTGTCAAGCAATTGCAACAAGGCAATTGGCGTTTCGCCACTGTTGTGCCGCACAGATTTCCGATGTGCTTTTAGGTTGCACCGCGCGTCGTTCGGCACGACATCCGACGTTTCTCTGCGCATGCCAAGGCGATTCTTCAGCAACCCAATCGAAGAAGCTCCCCCAGCACGTTGTATGTACGTATTGTGGATTGAACTTCTTTCACACCGTACGTAGCCAACCGTGTTAACCGGAGGTGCGGGGGAAGGACAACCAACTAGACACAACATGCCGTTCTAAAGAAATTAAACGTTGAGTCAAACGTAGGACATCATGCCGAACAAAACGCGATACAACCCAAAAGTTTTGATTTAAAGCTTTCGTGACTGCAGTAATTCATATTCTTAGTTCTTTCGGTAAAGTCACGTTGAAGGGAAACAATAAAATAATAAAATAAGGTCGACTCTTATTGTTTTATATATTTGATTATTTTATTGTTTCCCTTCAACGTGACTTTACCGAAAGAACAAAGCATATAACCCAAAAGTTAATTTGATCACAAGGTCCATCGTACGTTCATGCAAGCACGGGGTCTCGTGTTGCGCGATGCAGAGCAACGCTTACAGCAGCTACGAAAGCTGAACACACACACAGCTGTTACAGCTACACCTTTATTTCATTCGTGACCATTTGTAGGTTCAACACGGACCAAAGTCGACTTCACACACTGACCATTTTGGTTGTCACTCCCGTTAATGTAGGCTTTGGTCCTACAGTATCTACCCCCCCCCCCCACCACTTGAACCGCACTTGATACAGGAGGATGAGATGTCAAGGTCAGGCCCAGCTGCGCGTGTGTGTTCCCACACTTGATCAATCGGCAGACGGAAGGATGGCTCGGGGCGTGAGTGTTTGTTCTGCAGGCAAGGAGGTCCTTGAGCTTGACTTGCCTGCACACGAAAGAGAAATCTGCCGTGCGTACGAATGTCGCAGTTGCTTGACCCCTGCTTAAAGATAAGGTCAAACGGGCACGCCTGATAACAGTGGTAAATGTTGCGATCTTTCCAACTAAATGTGTTTTACCACACCAGACCTGGATTTGTTATTTAAATATTGATGATCGTAACACCCGTGACCAGCAGATCACCTGGAGAGCGCCTGACTCACGTGTGTGCTCTGTTGCGCCAGAGTCATTTTAGGACATCGGATCTTGGGCAAAATAACATTCCTACAAACGCAGAGATGAGCCCATTCGGCTCTTGAAATCCAGATCTCCCCCCTCCCCTCGCAACCCCGCATCTCCAGCCTTCCACGCCAACCACTCCGCTCAGTCAGAAAATGCGGAGTGCACGCTGTGGTGGTGGTGTTGGTGAACGCAAAACGCTGAGCGGTGAGGGTTGTACAAGATGAGATTTTAGGTTGAAACGAACGTTGCCCAGTTTTAAGGCAGTCGCAGAGATGTGGGTATCGGCCGATGAATGGAGAGGAGAGGGAAATGAAGAGGCGAGTTGGACGAAGGAAAGTAGACACATTTCACCTGGGCAATCCTTTCGTTTGCCTGGGTGCCTCGGCTGTCGATTGAGGTTCGTAGCAAATATGTTTTGTATACGAAACCGAATGTACAGATAGAGAGGAAAGGGAAAATCCCGTTCTCAGCCGATCTCTTCTGTCTGCTGATTAATACTTTCAATTGCACTTTGGAGTGAAGGCTTCTCAATTCATGGAGAGACAACGGTTTAGTTGCGTTTATCCGCCTGCATCTCATCCAACCAGTGAGATGACCAACGTCAATTACCACCGAATAGCAAAAAAACCCGTTTAGTTTATATGTTTAAATATACTAAATGACAAAATATTGGTACCTGTATTAACGTGAAGCAAGTGTTAGTTGCAAATTCACACGAAGACAAGGATTTATGGTAGAGCCGTGCAGACTGTTCACGGAATTGCTGTTCGTGAGCACCAATTAAAGCCCGCACGGTACACAAGCAGGCCACCAACACCACGTTCAGCTCTCATTGTATCATCCTAAATGCCGATGTTTACCACACTACACTAGGCACTCACTTCAGGCTAAGTCGACCTATGGTAGGCACAGGACAAGTCTGATATAACGTGCCACTGATGTTAGCCATGGCCGGGAATCGAACGCATGTCGCTGGGTTTGTAGCGCACCCCTCCCTACATACACACAGACATGCGTACAACAACAACCGCCATTCACCACTCAGAGACGGAGATGCCACCACAGCGCTTGTGTCAGGCTAGGTGCACTTTGAGGCCACGTGAGTGTCAATGGCTTGCTGGCAGGAGGTCACAGGACAGACCCAGGTGTTATGGGTTGAATGAATGAGATGGCTGACTGATGCACAACCTGTGCTCCCACTGTGCCAACTTGCTGCTCTGCCCTCTGTTGTTGGAGGGAAACTGCCTCCAAATGCCCAGTAGAGTCCTTCACGAGGCTCCTCCACGGAGGTCTATCTTGACACCGCTGGTAGAAATCATTTGAATAGTCCAAATCAGCTCTACACCATCCTGTACCACATCAGCCCATATTTTCTCTCGCCCGTGCTGTGCCTGCAGAGTCCCATCTACCCAGACAAACAGAAGCAGCCCCCGCAGTATCGCCTGCTGGAAGAGCTCACTGATAAGACATGGTCCAGATCTTTTAAAGATCTGTGAGCTCCTCACACAATCCAGTCCCGTTAAACCCGGGATGGATTGAAGGCAGGCCAGCCTGAATGTTTCAAGCAAATGCAAAGATCCCCCGTATAGCCTTTGAGCAACTGCTGGGGTAAGTGCTGTTAGCGAGCACATCGCTAATACGCACACATGCATACAGACACACATCCACACTAAATGGATTGTTACCAATAGTTGCATTAACGTGTGTAAGTGAATGTTTAACATTATTCTTTTCTACTCCGAAAGTGTATTATTATTACCATCATCATCATTATTACTCTGATGTATATGTTTCACGTGGGTTTGTTTCAAACATCTACGTATGCAAAATGCACAACAGCTACCCGGATGAGTAATTAAGGGACTGTGTATCCAAGCAAAACTCACCGTCGCTGTCAATGCCGTCTCGTAACGGACAAAGGTGTGGGGCTGTGGAGTTGTTTGTGGGGCTGTGTGGTTGTTTGTGGGGCTGTGGGGTTGTTTGTGGGGCTGTGGGATTGTTTGTGGGGCTGTGGGGTTGTTTGTGGGGCTGTGGGGTTGTTTGTGGGGCTGTGGGGTTGTCTGTGGGGCTGTAGGGTTGTTTGTGGGGCTGTGGGGTTGTTTGTGGGGCTGTGGGGTTGTCTGTGGGGCTGTGGGGTTGTTTGTGGGGCTGTGGGGTTGTTTGTGGGGCTGTGGGGTTGTTTGTGGGGCTGTGGGGTTGTCTGTGGGGCTGTGGGGTTGTTTGTGGGGCTGTGGGGTTGTTTGTGGGGCTGTGGGGTTGTTTGTGGGGCTGTGGGGTTGTTTGTGGGGCTGTGGGGTTGTTTGTGGGGCTGTAGGGTTGTTTGTGGGGCTGTGGGGTTGTTTGTGGGGCTGTGGGGTTGTTTGTGGGGCTGTGGGGTTGTTTGTGGGGCTGTGGGGTTGTTTGTGGGGCTGTAGGGTTGTTTGTGGGGCTGTGGGGTTGTTTGTGGGGCTGTGGGGTTGTTTGTGGGGCTGTGGGGTTGTTTGTGGGGCTGTGGGGTTGTTTGTGGGGCTGTGAGGTTGTTTGTGGGGCTGTTTGTGGGGTTGTTTGTGGGGTTGTGGGGTTGTTTGTGGGGCTGTGGGGTTGTCTGTGGGGCTGTGGGGTTGTCTGTGGGGCTGTAGGGTTGTTTGTGGGGCTGTGGGGTTGTTTGTGGGGCTGTGGGGTTGTCTGTGGGGCTGTGGGGTTGTTTGTGGGGCTGTGGGGTTGTTTGTGGGGCTGTGGGGTTGTTTGTGGGGCTGTAGGGTTGTCTGTGGGGCTGTGGGGTTGTTTGTGGGGCTGTGGGGTTGTTTGTGGGGCTGTGGGGTTGTTTGTGGGGCTGTGGGGTTGTTTGTGGGGCTGTGGGGTTGTTTGTGGGGCTGTAGGGTTGTTTGTGGGGCTGTGGGGTTGTTTGTGGGGCTGTGGGGTTGTTTGTGGGGCTGTGGGGTTGTTTGTGGGGCTGTGGGGTTGTTTGTGGGGCTGTGAGGTTGTTTATGGGGCTGTGGGGTTGTTTGTGGGGCTGTGGGGTTGTTTGTGGGGCTGTGGGGTTGTTTGTGGGGCTGTTTGTGGGGTTGTTTGTAGGGCTGTGTGGTTGTTTGTGGGGCTGTGGGGTTGTTTGCCCCGAACGGA